AAAATTCATAATTTCTGTCCCTATGGACCTAGAAAGTTCAAACTTGGTAGGAGTACAGGCGACAGGATTGGAACACTTATGGTGGGTGGCAGGACCAGACTCCGCCCATAGGGGCGGGGTTTGAGCGGAAACTCACTAGTCCGATAAAGGTCTATAATGAAAATCAGTTCATGCGGCTCCGTCTCTCATGGCTAGAGCCCCTAGCGCGCGCGAGAGCGTGCGTAGCCGCCTGGTTGATAATAAAATTATAATAGAAAAAGTAACAATGCAATAATAAAATAGCAATAATAAATTTCTATAGCACGAATCAATAGCTATCACAAATCACATTTACGCCACCCGAAATACAGGGTGAGCATCCTTTGAGTTCAATGCTTAAAGTCGAGTTCGGCTGGCCTGAATTTTGAACCGGTACCCGCCGAGGCGATCGCGCTTTCCTCGGAAAGGAGAAGCAGTTATGATTCAGTTATAGTATCAAGTGTTCTGATCTATTATAAACTGAAGAAGGTCCTCCTTCTCCTGCGTTGACTCTTGCGAATCCTTCATGAACTAAAAATTCATTCATGACTGACCATCCTTGTTTTTTCACCATGATCAGGTGACGAGTCTTCTTACCCATATTATCCCACCGCTTTTTCAGGAGGAGGTCGAAATCGCCATGCTGAACAACGCATTTGCAAGAACGGTTGGTTACTACTCGAATTGACCAATTCGAGCCTTTCTAACCAGACCCTTGATGTTGATTAGAACTGAAATATGACTAGAGGAGTATGGTTATAATTTCTCTTACTTGAATGGCCCGGTTGATGAGTTATTGTCATGCAGTTTCCTCGCAGATTTCGTTTTCGTCTTGGAAGGAGACGTCATCTTTCTTCCTTCACTTCATTCCTACAACATTTCCTACAACAGTCGTTGTAATCAAAAAACAGTGGAATTTCTATTTCAGTTCTCCACCCGACGACGCCTAGCCGTGATGAACTCAATAGACGGCATCGAACTGAGGGATCCGAGGCGTAGAGGCAGTCTAGGAGCCAATGTGGTTTCTTTTTTTCTATCTACCAACTTTTCCGGACAACTCTTGTCAAAATGAAGTTAAAATGTTGGAAAAAGCAGTAGATGAGAGATGAGATATGCCCACCATTTGGGCGAACATCCATTCGCAGAGAGTGGTCAGGGGGTGAAGGTACAAAGTTGAGTCCCGTAGGAAAAGGAGAGCGAAGGGCTAACTAGCTTCAGTACCCCATCATCTAGCTGGACACTGCTCTGGAGCTCTGGAGCGCTTCGCGCCAGCACCGTCTCCTGCAAGTAATCGGAGGAATAGTGACAAATTTTCCCTCTTTATTATTATTTTTCATGCACTCTCGTATCTGAGAGTGAAAATTTTAAAAAAAGTGTAAACATGCCAGTTCTCACACACCAGCAAAAATGCCTGCTGCCTGCTTTGCTCCCATACACATTTTCATAGCAAGAAAAACAATTAATGTGCTTCTAGGTGCGGAACAGCTTCGTGCAAACTGTCAACAATGAAATATCCAGGGTAAGTGCTTATCAAGTTACTAACCATTCGACTTTATCTTAGGAGTTTGTAGTCCACTGCATGTTGCACAAGGGCTCAGCGCGTGGGAGTACCGGAAAATGGCTCATAAGAAATTTTGAACTATAATGTTCATAGTGGTGACGCCCAGCTGACAATCAAATCGAAAGGACTTGGTAACTAGTAATTGCTCAAAAATTCGGACGACTGTGACTGGACTTACTGAACAGTGTGGACCTTGCACCTCAGAACTAGTGAAAGTTTCAAGGGAAAACCCGAGTTTGATTACAAGGTGAAGAGAGTTATGTATGTGTGAGGGTCGTATTGAGGGCTGAGCTAATCAGTTCGAGGTTTTTTATTTGAGTAGTAGATCATCCTCTCCCCTCTGAGTATTCCAAAACCTCCAAATCCAAAACCACCAATCCCGTACTGTGGTCTACAGTTCATTTTCAAAGAAGTTCATTGAAATTGCATAGACGAAGTCGTTCCCCTGCTTCGCTAGAAGGAATGAACGTTCCCTAGCAAGAGACAGCTATCATTAAATTCATGTACATAATGACCATTTTTTGGATTTCTAGCACTTTATATCCTTTTAGTTTTTCAGAACCAGGATCACTTCCTCGATGTCGTTCACAGCGATGTCTCACGGGTTCGTTTGAATTTAATATTCGAAATAATCATGGATTGTAAAAGTGACTTAAAAAGTTGCTAGGAAAGCGAAGTCGTAACCTGTAGGAGACTCTGAGGCTACAGCTCTAAGTTTTATGGTTTTCGCTCATATCTACCCAGAAAAAATTCTCCTCGGAGTCGTCGGTCTCTCGTCCTACCAGTTTCTAGGTTTTCCATTTGTTTGCATGTATGATTATGAGAGGGTTGTGATACGGAAGTCGAAAGTAGAAACCGAGAGCTAGTGGGACACCACCCGTTTTGATAGTTCACAATTCAGGCTATTTCTGGATCGAAACGACCATCATTGGCTGACCCTCCAATACCTCTGCGCAGTAAGGTAAGCTCTCCTTACCTGTTTTCTTCCTTTTTATAGGTGCTATAAACAATTTGAAAGGCTCTAATAGTAATAAAAATTTCATAAAAAGGTATTTCATTGATTTTTTTTGCAACAGAAAAGCGATGACGAAGTGTCGGTGTCGGTGAAAATTGTCGAGAAGCACGTCATTGATCCCTCAACAATAGAGGTTGCCAGTGTTGCTTACATGATCATCTTCGGTTCGAGTGCCAACAACTTTGTCGATGGAATGAGCATGGGTAGGTTTTTTTCACTTTTTCGGCACTGATAAACTCAACACAGTCTGTGATGAAGCGATGTAGGACCAGTTTGTCCGAGAAGATTACAATTTTCACTTCTAATTTCTGGAAGTGCCGGTATTACATAGTACGCAAATGGCAGAGCAAATCGAATCTGCTCCCCCAGTCTTTATGCTAATGATATCAACGTGAACTTATGAAGAATCCTCAGAGTTTTTTATGCTATAGAAGAAAAAGTCCAGATTGGGGTTTTAGCAACTAATCAGTCACTACACGTTGACAGCTTCGGATGGATAATTCCGTCTAGTTTATCACTATCATACTTGATGGTGGATATGTAGGTTCTACGCTACGGTATCCGTCAGATGGTCCCTACTGAGGCTTAAGAGCTCAAAGTTTAAGGCATTCGCAAAACTTTTTATTTTGAAGTTAGATCGAGCCAATTTCAGGTGCTGCCTTTTCGGACAGCCTTCTTCGTGGCCTCAGTATTGGAGCGGCCGTCGTATCACAACAGTTCCCACAAGAGCTAGGTAAAATGGATATCAAAATGGAACCCCAACAATATCCAGAGCTGCTGTCTTTTTTTTCGTACTATACTGCCTTACTTACCTTCAACTGCGGGTTCTACAAATAAAATGCGAACTCGGTGTATCTCACTATCCTTGGATCAGTTTGTTCAAACGATTCCATTTCATATCGAATTTAAAGGCACTGTTCACGAAAAAATGGTCTCGGAGATCTGCACATGGTTTGAATTCGACGCCCCCTCTGATTCCATTTGTGCAGGAATGAGGATGAAAAACGGTTT